AAAAAAGAAAAAAAGAAAAAGGAAAAAGTTGAAAGTGAGAGCTTTGTCCGCTGCTCTGGTCTCAACTCGAGTCACAGTCAGCTTGTTACTTTCATTTTGGAAGAGGAGACGTCAAAGTTTCTTTCAATCATTTGGAAGGCAACTGGAGCCACTCATAAAAACAGAAAGGCAGGGACAGAGTAGGGCCAGAGAGGAGGAAGTAAGAGGCCAGAGCAACAGGGGGCTTTTGAAAATAAAATTAACAAGGTGACTGTTGGAGAAGGGCTGTGACAAGGACACGGCAGACGAAGTCTGTGAGTCAAGTAATGATTCAACTTTAAATTATCTGTTCGCTTTTGTTGGGTGTTTGCTGGTTCAAGTCTAAGACTGCAGACGCTCTGGCCCCCAGGAGCAGCAGCCTGCAGGAAGCGTGGGCTCCCTCCCCTTCTGCCTGCCTCCGTGAGCTATTACCCTGCACTGGGTCTGAGGTCCCGCCGCCGCGCGCGTGGCCTTAGGATGACAAGGCAGCCTCCTTCTGGGTAGCTGGGCTTGTGGGCCTGCAGGACCTTTTGGCTTTCCGCGTCTCTAAAATGCTTTTCCACTATTTTGCGTACGTGGCTCAGTGCACTCCCCTCTTTGCCTTTACAGTTTTCCACTTGATAGGGGGGTGTAATAACAACTTCTTCCATGACTTCGATTTTTTTTTTCTTGCTATTTACAGTCTTTAATAGTCTTGTGGGTGGTCTGGAAGAGCTGCTGGCCCTCCACGGAGACACCCATGCCGAATGCACAGGCCGGGCTCAGCTTCTCTCCTCCTCTGTCCACCTTTGCTGGCAAGCTTACTAACACTGAGTGAAGCTGGGGAGGAGGAGTTTCTGTTCGGTCATTAATTATTTCCACTTCTGAAACGTACTGTAAGTTTATGAGCAGGATGCCTGCGTGGATGGGCTTTCCACTGGATGAGGGACATTTTAAAGCCAGTATCTTGGGCTGCTGGTCAAGGGCTGCCATCTCTCCCTGCAGCCGCTGCTCCTGGCACATCCGGCATGATACCTGGCTCCCAACGCTGAGGTACTCATCTGGAGGAGTCGCCATCCTGGATAGCAGCTGTGGCCGGTGGCGGCGGCAGCAGCAGCAGCAGGCAAAAGCCGGGCCCCTAGTCAGTGCCACGGTGCAACACACGCCACAGCAGTCTCTCAATTGACACTATCAAGCTTATAGTGGTTGGTACAAAGTTTTCCAAACTTTTAAGAAAGTATCAAATTCCCAGGTCTAAATATCCATAATTTATCTTCCAGGTATTCTTTTAAACATGGAAATGGAGGAGGAGGAGGAGGAGGAGGGTGGGGGAGTAAGAGGAGAAGGATGAGGAGGAAGAAGGAAGAGGAAGAAGAAGGAAGAGGGAGAAGAAGA